CCATATCATATCAGATTTATCTATGTATCTTTAAAAGTAGGATAATACTATCACTGCTTTTGTGATATTATTCCCATTTGACTAGATAGCTAATAGAGGTCCCAGGTCACACAGCTATTGGGGGAGTGCTGGAACTGAGTGTCCATACCCCTGAACCAGGCTGCTGCTCCAACTCCAAAGAGCTGGAAAGATGGAGGCCTGCGTTTTATGGTCATAGAAATGAAGCCCAGCAAAGAAGTGTCTGCTCTGATTGGGCTGAGGGGGTCCCCTAGTTTGCCATGGGTGAGGCTGGGCCTGGCCGGCAGCTCAGGAGTTCCCACCTCTGCAGAACTGCACTTTGCCTTGTAGTAAACAGTCACAGGGACAGCAGGGGTCAGCTGTCAGGCAGGGGACCAGGAGGGAGCCGCTGCCAGGTGCCAGGATCTGGCTGACCCCAGAGAGCAACTGGATATGTGTTTGGAGGCCTTGGAGGGCTCGTGCTCTTTGTATTTTTAGAAAGGGAGTAAGGACACAGCAGGGACCAGCAAGTGCTTTGTTGCCCCGGGGCATTGCCTGGGCTGCAGAAAAGGTGCTTCCAGTCTGGTTTGGGGCCAGTGGCTGAGGCAGCACTAGCCTGCCTGCCTCTCTGGTCAGGTATTGTGTTAGGCAAGAGGAAGGATTTCCTCAGGGCTCTGACCTTCCAGGAAGAGGGTAAAAAACAAGAGCTAAACAGGGGCTTTCAAAACAGCACAGTGGTTAAGAGTTTGTGCTCTGGCCTCAGACAGACATGGGTTCAAATATCGAGTCCCCTATCTCTAGCTGTATGCCTTCAGGCAAGTTATTTAATCTCTCTGACCCTACGGTTCCCCTGGTGCTGGCACGTGGTAAATGCTGCATAAAAGAGGCTGTAAGTCTGGAAGAATTTGAGTGTGGGCTGTCAGACATGTTTAGCAGCAATCCGCTGTGGATTGCTTTCTAGAGAGTTTGGCATCCCTTTGTGTGTATGGACCAGACCATATGTTAGCTTCTGGCAGTAAGGGGGGAAGGGTGGCGTCCTCCCATTTTACAAAAGAGGAAGCTGAGAAGCACAGAGGCTGCATGACCGGAAGCCCCGAGAGCAGAAATGGGAGCCAGACTCAGTTCAGACCCCTTCACTCCAAGCGCAACGCCAGCCATTCACTCAACCTTCATTTCCCCAGACCCTGGCCCACGACATCAGAGCTGCTGCTCAGAGTGCAGGCGTTGGGGCTGGGAGAACGTGGGATCCTGCCCTTCACTGCTGCTTTTAAGTCCTGAGGAAGGGAGCGAGAGTGGGTGTGAGAACCAGGAGGGAACTGCTGGGCCAGGGCGGGGAGAGTAGGGGACCCCTGGGGCTGGGGCTGGGGCTGCGGCCATACTGGCTGCTTCTGAGCCCAGGCCTCACTGGACTGGCTAAAGCCAGCAGGGGACATCTGCCGGAGCTGGCCAGCCCTTGGGGGCTGTTTCCCCCTGGCTTTGATCTGGGGACTCCTCTCTATCTTGATTTCACCTGCCCTTGGAGCTGCAGCTGGGCTTCGTCCAATAAGTGTAGCAGTTTCTCTTCCTCATCTACAGCCTGTCTCATCTATGCCAGGACCCAGGCACTACCAACCACAAGGAAGCACCCCACACACACTAATGCTGTGCTGAAGTACTGAAGGGAGTTGGGAGTCCACATGCCCATGTAAGACAGCCATTTACTGGCACCCCCAGAGGGCTCCATAGAAGAGGACTACAGAGCACAGCTCATCATGGTCCTGCCTATTAAGCCCTTTCTGAACAAATACAGGGGGTGACAAATGCATCATTCATTCATTCATTCATTCAGCATGCCAGGCTAGGTGCCAGGCTCTGGGATTTGGCAGTGACCAGGACAGATAAAGTCCTTGTTCCTGTGAAGTTTATCTACCAGGGTAGGATTGAGAAGGCCTTTTTATCTCCTGGCTTCCCTCTTTATCCACTTTGTTCTCTGCTAAGCCTGTCATTGTAGGGGTTTAGGGGATCAGGGACATAGGGAAGGCAGGGATCTTTGTTGTACCTTAAATGTGTAGCACATGATAGGAACTAAAAACATATTTGTTGAACTGAACTGAGTAGGAATCTTGGCAGGCTCTCCACAGGGCTGGGTGGAGTGGAAAATTCACCACCTTCCCTTTTTTCCCAGCTCAGTGTGATAGGAACTATTTTATGAGGTCTCCTCACCTGGACTATAGCCAGAGATTATAGAAACAGTTCTTATTGCTTCTTATTCTAACTATCTGAAATTCCAAGGAAATAATTCTTGCCTTTTGGAGACGTATAATCTAGTGGGGACATACGAAACTCATACACACCATTATGTCGAATGTTGATATTTTGTGTTATGATTACTTGTTCTGAAAGTCATTTTTAATTCCCTGTGTTTAGGCCTCCTATCTGGATTTGGGTTTCACCACAAAATCTAAGTTCATAGAATAAAAAAGACTTGGTAAATGTTTCTGAGTAAAGACATGCGGAAGATCTAAGATAAATGTATCAGACTCTTATAAAAGGCCCATGATCAGCGGCTGGGCAGCCATAGGCACTGGGGAGACGAGCTGCTGGAGCAGGCTGGCTGCTGGTGCAAACTACTGAAACTGTTCGGCAGACAGCTGTAGGTAGGTTACCTAAGCATACTTCCGACTGGTGTCCACCTGCAAGTTTACGCAGCCTGTGCTTCCAGGGACTGGATGGCGGTGTGGTTAAGGATGCAGGCTCCAGAGCCTGCCTGGGTCCAAATCACAGCTCCAATACTTAACAGCTAGGTGATCCTGGGCAAAATTACTGAATTTTTCTTTGCCTCGATTTTCTCATCTGTAAAGTAGGTGTTGTTACAATAATTCAATGACAAAATCCATATGAATATGTCTAGCACTGAGCTTAGAAGATAGTAAGCAGTTTGGCAGGATGGTGTAGACGAGTGGTCGGCAAACTCATTAGTCAACAGAGCCAAATTTCAACAGTACAATGATTGAAATTTCTTTTTTGAGAGCCAAATTTTTTAAACTTAAACTATATAGGTAGGTACATTGTTATTAACTTAATTAGGGTAGTCCTAAGCTGGCCTTTGCTAAAAACATGGTGTTTTGTGGAAGAGCCACACTCAAGGGGCCAAAGAGCCACATGTGGCTCGCGAGCCGCGGTTTGCCGACCACTGGTGTAGACCAATGGCCCTCAAACTTGAGCTTGCATTAGAACCACATGGAGGGGTTGTTAAAACACAGATGGCTGGGTTCCACCCATTTCTAAATCAATAGGTCGAGGGTGGAACCTGAGAATTTGCGTTTCTAATAAGTTCCCAGGTGATGCTGTTGCTGCTGCTGCTGCTTCTGGGACACAATGTAAGAACTGTTGATAAACAGAAGAAAGATATAGGTTTAGGACTTTGACAGTGGGACCACCCCGTGGTATCTGGTGACTCTGGGCAGGTAATCTCTTTGAAACTCAGTGTCTTCACTGGTAAAATGGGGCAATTAGTACCCACTTCATGGGGGAGGGGGAGCTGACACACAGCATTATCTTTATTTAGGTTCTGTTTTTTAAATTTTAGCTCAATTTGTTGGCCCTTGAAAGAGGAGTCAGATTACAATGGGCACAGACGGTCTGAGTGGGCTTGGGGAATGCACTGGGAGCTCCAAAGTGGGGCCTAGAGCAAAAACACCCAGGAGCAAGGTGCTAATTCGGAAAGTACTCCTGTTTAAGGTGTGTATTGGGAGAGAGCAGAAAAATTCTTTGGAAATTTCTATGTAACAAACCCATGGTTAACTTTGGACCCTAACAAATGAGTGTTTCCTGAAAGCCACTGACATGGTGACCTCTTGCAGGGGAGGTGGAAAATACTTCCTAAGGAAGAGCAAGCAGGTCCCATGGGTTTCCTATCGCAATCCCTAAGCCTTCCCGTCTCTTCTGCACACCCTGTTTCCGTTTATATGTAGCCCCCTTTTGTTAGAGAGAAACCCTGTCGACCTCATGGATTCATAATGGATCCAAGCACTTGGGTTCCTGTCCCCTGGCAGGCTGAGCTCACCCAGGGCCTGCAGAGCTGTTTTCTGGCGGGTTCCCCTAGTGGACGACGGAGGCACTGCAGACTTTCCCAGAGTGGGGCTGCTCCCATGTGCCCCGTCAGTGCTGCAGCTGTGAAGCCTGGGTTTGCAGCTGGGGCAAGGGCTGGAGCCTCACAGCAAGACTGTGCCCGGGGCTCAGAGGAAATTTCCAGGCCGGTTTGGTGTTATCATCAGAATAGCACGCAAAAGACACCCCACCCAAGTGGATTAGAGGCTGCTGATTTTTAAGGGCAAGATTCACTGTCTTGGCACTGGAAGGATGCAGTCAGAGCTCCTGCCCCAGACACAGGCCTCAAGGGTCTGGGCCTTTGCAGGTTTTGGCCTGAAGACCAGGGACAGCTTCCAGCCTGAGTCATTCATTCCCAGAGACAGGATACCAGGGAGAAAGGGCTATCTCTGGGCCACAGCCTTTCATTTTAAAGGCAAAGATTCACTGTCCGAATCCAACTCCCCTCACCCAGAAGCCATTGTGCCTGAAATCCCATCCTTAAAGATCCTTAAGATTTTTGAAAAAAATCTCTTTGAAGTAACTCAAATTAAAAAGGCAATCATCTATCATGTATTTATTGTGGCAAGTCACTGAGCGAAGCACTGTGGGACCTGGGAATTTGGAAGATGGAGTCCCTGCAGTAATGCAGGCAGTGATGGGCCGTCTACAGAGGTCTAAACAAGGCCCAGGTCAGCACAAAGAGGGCAGCCTTTGCACAGGGCCTAGGTGGAGGGTAATGGGGACAGGGTCTAGAAGGGAGGGAGGCTTCCTTGAGGACGGGGTAGCATGGAGAAGAGAGGCCTTAAGTCCTGGAGCAAAGGATGGGGTGTGTTAGGGAACAGTGAGTAATCTGGTGTGACCCAGTACTGCTGAGCATCAGGGAGCTGGCACAAGAGAGCCCTGAGGAGGGTTAGCCTCTGCCCCATCCCCCGTGGGAGGAGGAGCAGGACCCAAGCTAGAGCGGTGGGTGGAGGCCGATGGGAGCATCTGGAATGCCCAGTCACGGCAGAGAGCGTGGAGACCCAGTGTAGGTGGGCTTGTCTGAGAATTTCCTCTCTGAGACATAAGCCTGGTGCAGCTTCAAGTTGAAACTCACAGAGGTAAGAAGAGAAGGTGCCTAATGGAGTAGAGAAGAGACATTTCAAAGACCATGGGGGTTGCTGAGAAGACAAAAGGTGCCTTCAAAATTTGGGCTGGGACAAGCCCTGAATCAGAACACATTATTTAAAACGCCCCAAGGTCCACAGGTGGGAGTATAATCCTGAGTGGGAGAGATTTTTCTTTCATATTTGTTTAAGTACTTTCACCCACATTATCTCATTGATCTCTTTAACAGCACTTTGTGCTAAACAGAGCAGATATTATTCCCAGTTCACAGGTGGAGAAGGTAAGCCCTGGGTAAGATGAAGTTATAGCTTCTGCTTTATTTTAACCATTGGCCTTTTGGGAGTGCACATTTGTTTTTGTTTTAAATTTGTATTTTTTTAGTTCAAACGTTCACATGGTTCAGAATTCAAAAGACACAGGTAAATGTCTCTCTTGTCTCAACTCTGTTCTCCCAGGTTGCCTCCTACCAGTTTGAACCTAAACCTTTGACTCCAGGTATAGTGCCCTTTCAGCCGCAGGGGTGCCGGGGCTCAAGAACACAGCCCCACTGCAAATTCAGGAAAACCTAATGCAAGCCCCACTCAGGTAGAGTTGTTTACCTCCTCTTAGCAAGTGTATATATATGTATCCATATGGGACTATTTAATTGTCTTCTTTCATCTTCAGGTTTTTATTTCATTTTATTTTTTGTTAATCCTCACCCAAGGACATTCCTCCATTGCTTTTTTAGATAGAGTGGAAGGGAGGGATGGAGGGAGAGCGGCAGAGAGAGAAACATCAGTGTGAGGGACGTACATCGGTTGGTTGCCTCCCTGACTGGACAGGGAAATGAACCCGCAACTCAGGCACGTGCCCCTGACTTGGAATCAAATCCCAGACCCTTTGGTTTGCTGGCCTATGCTCTAACCACTGATCCACCAGCTCAGGTTCATCTACCGTATTTGCCGGCGTATAAGACGATTTTTTGGCCCTGAAAAATATGCCTCCAAGTGGGGGGTCGTCTTATACGCCGGGTACACTTCAGATAGACTGCCCATAGTGCTTGCCCCGTGCCATAGTGGCCTCCCGATGCCCGCCCACTTCATTCCACATACCGTTCAGGCATCAGCAGCGCTGCTGGGTGTAT